AATTGTTCCTAGAACCAATCCTTAAAGAGAACTGGAATCTTTTATTGACAATTCTAATGAGATTTTTTATGAGATTGGTGATTTTAGATGACAATTACACTCCACTACTGGAGTATAAATGTAATTAAATAATAGTTAAATATTAAATATTAAACATCATCTTGCTTCACTCAAAAATACTGGCATATGTGAACTGGGCGCGGTGCCTTACAACTGTAATCCTAGCACTCTGGGAGGCTGAGGTGGATGAGTTACTTGAGCTCAGAAGTTCCAGACCATCCTGAGCAAGAGCAAGACCCTGTCTCTACTAAAAATAGAAAAACTGGCTGGGTGTTGTGGTGGGTCCCTGTACTCAGGAGGCTAAGGCAAGAGAACTGCTTAAGCCCAAGAGTTTGAGGTTGCTGTGAGCTAGGACACCATGGCACTCTACCCAGGGAGACAGAATGAGACTCTATCTCAAAAAAAAGAAAGAAAAAAAAAATACTGGCAGTAGAGTTGCAGTGAGAAGGGTATCTACCTACACTAGGGGTGGGAATACAGATTAGCAGTCTTGTTGAAAGGTAGTGTGCATTAGCGTTTTAGGAAGTTCAACTGAAACTTCAACCTGCTTAGTGAAATGTTTCAAAATGTACCCAAATATTTACATGCAAAGATGAATGTCTCACTTTATTTATTTATTTTTTTTCCTTTGCAGTTTTTGGCTGGGGCTGGGATTGAACCCGCCACCTCTGGCATTTGGGGCTGGCGCCCTACCCTTTGAGCCCACAGGTTCTGCCTGTCTCACTTTATTTTTAATAGTGAAACGACCAAAAACAACTTAAATGCCCCCAACTGAGAAATATCTATGGCCAGTAGATAATATTCTATGCTACAGAATGTTAACACAGCCATTATTTACATTTAACACAGAAATATTGTCAACTGTCATAAATAATGCAGCCACCAGATAACTACTTTTATTTACTATTTTCTGAAAGTGTTAGCCATTGCAATGAAAAAGAAATATTAAATAAATCAGAAAATTATCAAGATTATAATGATGCTGTATGTCATGAAGCCCAAGAGAATCAAATGATAAACTGGTAAAAACAACAAGAGAAAGCAATTCAGTAAGATGGGTGGTTACCAAATTAATATGATGATATTAGTAACAGATAACATTTACTGACCCCTTAACATAGGCTAAACTCTGTGTGTGCTGACTCATTCCTCACAGCATCTCCATGAAGTTAATTAGGGAAACTAAGCTGTAAAGAGAGTAATTTGCCTGAAATTAATGTATAAAATAGCATATCCAGGGTACAAAAGTTAATGGCTTTTCTTTGTAATTACTAGTTAGAAAATAAGAATGTTATTTGTAATAGAAATAAAGAAGTAAAGTATTTAAGAATAAGCTTAAGAAGAAATGTAAAGAATGAAAATGTGAATAAGGAATATATAATAAGGCTTGTATAAAGGTATAGCCAGATCATACTCTTGGACAGAATACACAGAATGTACACATTCTCTATAAATATTCCTACAAATGTAATCCCTCTGTAAAAAACTATCCTTTATTTTCTTCACAGAGCTAAAATCATTCAAAAGAACACATAGGAAAAGAAATCTCAGAAATTCCTACGAAAATCTTTTCAAAGAAAATGAGGGAAGATCAAGCTAACATATTAAATAAAAATTTAAAGGTGCACCAGCACACCAATAAAAATACAAATTGTTGGAAGAGATTTTTTTTTTTTTAAGTCTAGAGATAGATCCAAATACTTGAGGATATTTAGTATATGACTGTGCTACAGCGTTTGCAAAAATGTTCAGAAGAAGTCGTGCCTTTCCTAGAGGCATACCCGTTTGCGGTATGACTTTGCCCCTTCTTCTATGAAGGGGTGGACTCTGTTTTCTTTACTGTTGAAAATATTCTGGCACTGTGACTTGTTCTGGCACATAGAAAGCTGTAGAAATGATATGTTACTTCCAAGCCTTAGCTTTACAGGTCTCATGGCTCTCACTCTTGTTGTCTGTCTCCTCTGTGACTACTACGTAAGGAAGCCAAAGTCAGCTCCCTTGCAAGTGAAAAGTCACATGAACGACTGGCTCAGTTGTCCTGGCTGTCACTTCTGACCACTCCAGGCAAGAGAGTAAGGCCATACAAGACTAGGCAGCATCTCGCCCACCTGTCAAGGGACTGCACCTGTAATGTAGGGTTATTTTAGGTGAAAACAGAAGAATTGCCTAGCTGAGTCCAGATCAAACTGCAAGGATCGAAGAGATAGTTGTTATTTTTTTTTTTTTT